CTGAGACCAAGATGCATAGTTATGTGTTCAACTGTCTTGCTAACCCCTCAGTAGCAGAACTTGATTTATGTGATTATAATGAACAACTTAAGTACAAGTTAAACTCAGAGGAAAGCTGAATCTTAAGCAGTAATCCCTATCTAACCAGAACCTGCATGCTTTTCCTGGCATTTCCCAGAACAGGTACATCACCTACTGTTTGGGCTAAACTCTCATCATTTTCCAGCAATTCTTAGGAATGCCAGAACCAGAGAGCCCTTAGGTATATAAGTAGCATCAAGAAGTCAATTAAAAATCTGGGTTTGAGTGTCAATAGTAAGACTTTATTTCAGGTATTCTCTTTAGTCAGTTAAGATATCTTGTGTTGTCCAGTACACTCCCTAATCAGTGCACTCTTCCATCAGTGCACTCTTTCTGGTATGCTTGTATAGATTCCCGTAGGAAGTGTTGACAGTAGTCTCAAACCAGTGCTGTAGCTAAGGAAAGAGAGATCAAAAACCTTTTCACTGTTTTCATTCATTTCTCTTTGCCACTATCAGCAAACACAATGAAATGAGAGTTTCTATGGCTATAGACTGCTACTCAGTGGAAAATTTCCATCACTTTGGGTATATCTTCCTCTGGTGTTGGTGGTTTCCTCTGGCTGCCAGGCTGCAGGAATTTCTTTATTGTGGGGATATTGCATATTCTTGTTTTAAAACTCTACAAAACAAAACCAAAACCGCACTGTGCTTAAGAAGCATTGTAACTGTCAGACATTTTGATGTTATCCATGCTCTAAAAGTAACATTATGCATTGATGCTGCAGAAGAAACTACATGGTTCCCTCTATTATGCTTTTGTGGCTGCAAAGACAGAAGCTGGCAATAACCATCAGTATTTGAGGCCAGCTAAAAGTACTTAGCATATTTGGTTATTTTGTATGTGACTTTTCTCCTCACCCTCCCACTCTCCCCTGTTTCTCAGCCAGTTTAAATCAGTGGTCCTTTCCAATGCATTGTCCATTAAAACTCTCCATTCATTTACCTGCAAGAGAGGAAATTTGGCAAGGATACCAGGTTTGAACTCTTCTGCCATTAAAATGATGTCAAGTAACTGCACATCTGCCCTGCTTAACTGGTTGCCAACAAGAAAGTCTTGTCCATGGTCTTTCAAAACCTAAAAACACAGAACCAGATGATTTTTTTTCTCTCTGTTACTTAATATGATATCTTCAAAGCAAGGTCATACATTGCACAGAGTTGTCCTTGAAAGAATGAACTGCAGTACAAACACCTGTAGTACAAACAAATGGTGTGATCTTCCTAGGAATGATTAATCAGTCCCTTCTTTTCTGTGTTTTTTTCTGTCAGTTCAGCTGTACTCCTCTTCTCTTCCCTTCTGTATCTTAAGTAGTCGATGCTGCTGCATTGAATGCTAAGCTTCATGAGATGCAGAAGGAGCTGTAATGCTTTTACATAGATTGTATGGTAGAGGGGCATCTGCACTTCAGGAGGAATGCCAGATTTACATAAAAGCTGATGTTATAGTTTCTTTTCTCTGAAACAACATACAGATTAAAACATGGACATTTGTAAAGCTCAGCATGTCCTGGTTTTTTGCAGCTTTGCACATCTCCCAGATCTGTAGTGCCTTCTGTCCCCTCTGTAGTGTCCTGTCTCCATCCTCATCCCAGCCCCATCAAAACCAGAACAGTATCTCTAAGTGTTTTCCTCAAGAAAAATTGTTGGTGTAGATTCAGGATGGAATTTCAGGAGAACAGTATTGATTAAGCTACAACATCTTTGCCACATACCTTCTCAAAGGCTGGGAAGTATCTGTTTGTGGCCTTGTCCATCATATTAGCAAAATGTTGCTCCTTCTTATCTGCTGGTTGGATTTCATAGTTCATGAATAACTCATTCAGATCGAATATTCCTTCCACATACATATCAATTCTGAAAGGAATAGATCCAGTTGATCAAGTCAAACACAGTAGGTCTGAATGCCACAATAGCTACTGGCATAACCCCGCTGAGGTGCTGGGACATCTCCACCTTTTCTATCTGACATCTATAGCTTGGATTAGTTCTCTCCAGAATGCAGTTGCATCAAGGGACATGGGAG